GTTTGAAGAGCTTCCGGTAGTTACCAGATTCAGCTGCTGTTTCCAACTCGTCGGCACGCTCCGACCACCAGGCTTCTCGGTCCTTACGCAAGCTTTGCCCAATTTCGCTACGTAACATCCTTCGTTTCTGGTCAAACTTACGGTCACCCAGAGTAGACCGACGGGCTTCAATGAGTTGTAAGGAGCCTGAAGAAACCCAGTGCTTATAAGCGGGACGTTTCGCGAACCCACAACCGAATGTACCCGCCAATTTGATGGCGCCATGAAGTTGCAACCAATGCTCATCTATACTTTTTGGTGGAATGGTAGCTAGCCTAGAACCTAGCTCGGTTTGATACTTACTAGCAACAGAAGTTGCAACCAGCTTGCTAACATCAATCCGTTGATGGCGTTCACTTCGTTGTCCACTGAAAAGTAAGGCAATATTGGCGCAGACCAAGGCATGGTCAGAGTCCAGATAAGTACTCCAAAAGGAGTGGCAGTCTTGTACACAACCATGCCAGTTGTAGCTGATCGCGATGTGATCAATCTGAGTCCAGGCTTGGGATGCAGAGGGAGGACGCCAGGTGGTACATCGGCGATGACTGTGCCGAAAGTTAGTGCTAGCCAGAAACAGGTTGTGGTCTGTGCACAGTTGCAGTAGACGGTCCCCGTCCCCGTTATCTGGCCTGCGACCAACGAGTCCCCATCGGCCACCTGAACGACTCTCTTCTGTGCCTAGACACCCGACCTGAGCATTCAAGTCTCCGGCTAGTACTACAATATCTGTCGAACGCACTTTCTGGAGAAGAACAGATAATTGGTGGTAGAATTCATCGTTGATTTCATCCGGGCTGCAATCTGTCGGGGCATAGGCGGAGATGACGAAAAGACATCGTTTCTCACGCCGATTTCTTCTCACTTTGATGGAATTTTCTAATCTAACAGCACATAACCGACTGTTAATGCGGATCCAATCGACTAGTGCCGTCTCAGCTCTAGCGCTTAGTGCGACACCAACACCAGCAAGACCAGACGAAGATGCCACAGGGTCCCCGGATAAACGCACGTAAAACAAGCCTTTTGAAGCGACAGATGGAGAGCGGATTTGTAGTACTTCGCCAGAGTCTTGTATATGGGTCTCGGATGGACAGCAAACGTCTATATTAAGACTTTCCAAAGACATAGCCAGCCCTATCTGTTGTCCGACCTGCATAAGTGTGCGAACGTTGAAGGCAGCCAGTTTGAGTGGTGCACGTGGTTTCAGAAAAACTGCTTCAGTCCTCGTATTCGGTGGTAACATACAATTTTCAACCGGACAGTTACTCGAGAACGTTTAGATACAGTCGAATTTCCACGAAAGATGAGCCGCTGTATAAGTATAAAAAAGGGTAAATAATGATCATTTGATTGTAAAGTAGTTCCCACAATTATAGGCAGTTCATCATATTTGTGTGTGGGCTCTGATACTGCCCGGGTGCTCGAATCGAAGCAGGTGGTCTACTTAGGGGGCCACTCCCCGAGCCTTCAACCTGAAGGTCTGATCCACAAGGTAGTGGAGCATCGTAAGGAGATGCAGTACCATGGTAGCCGGTGACCAACGATTGGTTCATATGACACTTCTTCCCGCAAGATACTGGAGCCCATGTATACCTTTGGTTTGGGATCCGGTTAAAGCCCCGGACATTCGCTTTTCATCCCCTCATTTTCGTAAACAACACCTCCCGCCACGAGAAGGCAATGATTAGGACTTCCCTGGCAGGGGCTGTATACGCGTGGCCGTGTGAGAGTAATTCAAGAGGGAGAGCGTACTCTCCCCACTCTCGTCCGTAGCAGGGCATTTGGGGGCTGCTACGTTACTGATAATGGTCAAGCAATGAAATGACTGGAACGCGTCACTATACATCAACATCCTCGACTATATGAAAGCATTCGAAATTGTGGTACTAAGACTTTATTGAAGCGTCTTGGAAACTATGATGTGAGTAGCTAAAACAACGGACTTATAACTGTAGAGCCTGGTGATAAAGTTATTCGAAACAATTATTCCCTCAAATACTCTATATTTAAAGGTTACAAAGTGCTTAGGATCTTCATGTTCACACTGAATTTTTTAAAATCCCCAAGGAACTAAAGCTATGGGTCTGAAAAGAAATCAAGAATGAAATAAGCTTGTATTCACAATTACGTACCGTGAAAAAGGACTGAAACTGCACCCGTAGTTCTGCTAAGGCTGTGATGCATGCTATTTATATTGACATAAGTAGCATATAACGCGAGTCAGGAATGTAATATATGGCAGCAGAGGATTGGGAAGGTCAAGAAAGGAAGAACGGGAATAGAAAGCAATTAGTATAGAAATGCAAGAACAATGAAGTCCGAGACCATTATTGGACATTTTGCAAATTAGGTATTATAGTATGGTTTTTCTATTTTACCAAGAAACTCTGTAACGTCGTGCTAAAAATAAAATTCGTTTAGCCTTACCTGTATTCTTATTCACTACTGTGTTGCTGCAAGTACTAACCCCACACAAAGGGTATTGTTTGGGTTCAGCAACCCCATACCTTAGAAAACAACACTGCTAAAAAACACTAACCAGATTACGAAAAGTTGCGATCGATCATAGCGAAGTGCTCAGGAAGGGATGTGACTATAGTGATGGGCTAGACTCAAGAAAGGAAGAACAAGATAGCAATTAGAACAGTAGAACAAGAACAGAGAAAGACAAGACAATAAGAAACCGAAGATAAAGAAGCACTGGGCAACTGGAGAAGCACCATCACAAAAGCTCAAAAAGCCTTCCCTCGACATAATGACAAACTCAACGAATTCAAGATAACTCTCAACAACAGGTTCCAAGCCTTACAGGATCCACTGGAAGAAACTTCTATGGAGAACAACGGGGAAGGAATCAAAGAAACAATGGTTCCGTGTCGTAAGGTGCTGGGCGGCAACAGGCATCACCATAATGAATGGATCTCCATCGAGACCTTCGCCAAGATTCAAGAGAAGAACAAAGAGTCAGCGAACAAGCAAGCGATGAACAGCATTAAAGCTGATAAGCAGAAATACATGGGAAAGCTAGCAGACAGCGGAAAAAGCTGCAATAGAGGTAAATGTAATACACAACAAAGAAACAGACAGGGAGATATTGTAAACCAGAGAGATCAGTCAAGGACAAAAAAGACAAGCCAATCACTGAACCTCAAGAGCAGAGGGACAGATGGGTAAACACTGGGAAACTCTTGAATAAGTCAACCCCAATGAACAGGACAGCCGACAGATTCATTCCGAGTAAGGACTAGAGTGAGACAAGGCTATGTACTTCCTCCATTCCTCTTTCTTCTGGTGGTTGAAAAGATTATGTAGGCCTCCACATCTCAGTGGAAGCACGGAATACAATGGACAGCTCGCATGCAACTAGATGATTGAGACTTCGCAGATGACCTGGCTCTTCTATCCCATACACACGAGCAAATGCAGATGAAGACAACCATTGTAGCAGCTGCATCTGCAGCATTAGGCCTCAACATACACAAAAGAAGAAGCAAGATCCTAAAATACAACACGGAGTACAACCACTCAACCACATTTGATGGAGAAGCTCTGGAAGAGGTGGGAGCCTTCATGTATCTGGGTAGCTCCACCAACGGATATGGAGGATCTGGTGAAGACGTAAAGGCGAGGATTGGCGAAGCAAGGGCCACATTCCTTCAATTAAAGAACATATGGAACTCAAGACAACGGTCAGCCAACACCAAAGCCAGAATCTTCAACACGAACGTCAAGACAGTTCTCATCTAGCCTTCTCTGTTTCAGTGCAGAAAACAATTCCAGCATAAAACAGTCTAATTCATTTATTTCAGACCTTCCCAGTTGATATGCAAACAAATCAGACAGCATCATGCCATAAAATAGAAAACAACAATTATACAAGATCAAGACAAAAGTGGTTGAGTGTGTGAGACTGTAACTAATAAATTGAGAATAACTTAAGAATAGTAAATCGTGTGATAATGGTCAACAGGTCAAATGTAAGAATACAAATGGTTACTTAATGATTACACAATAAGAATATATGTGATAATAGTCCATAAATAAATCCAAAGTTACCATTCATTTATTTTTCGTTAACATATAACACCCTTTTTAAATCTGGAGCTTAAACCCTGATCTAAAAAGTATAGGTAACTTTGAATCCTAACATCATTCTCCCCCGCGAAATAAAGTTGGATCTTCATATTCTCAAGTTACAAATAATGTGGCTTTATTTCAAGCATATTTCTCACATTAACTAGAGAATCCACTAAAAGTAACTACAGCATTCGGTACGAGATCATCCGAACTATGATTACGTGTGAGTTCATTTCGAACTTCTTTCACATTGACTAAGTTTTCGATCAGAAACAAATATATTATGAGAAAAACGACATTTGCTATGACATAATTAAGAATTGATTTTCCTGAAATATGTTCTTCAAATTTATTAAAAATCTCGTTAGAGAAGAATGTATCACTAGGAAAATCATCATCCATCAAAATTCCGGAATCTTCAATTCGAATGTGAAGACGGTCGTACTGTACGAAGCTGAAACGCGGAGAACTATCACAACCATCACCAAAACAGTACAGGTATTTGCAAACAATTGTCTACGCAAGATACTCCAGATCGGTTGACGGGATACTATCAGCAACAGCCTACTATGGGAGAGAACGAACCAGCTTCCAGCTGAAGAGGAAATTAGGAAAAGATGCCTCAAGAGGATAGGACAATACATAGTGGAAATCATCAAACTGCATCACAAGGCGAGCGATAACTTGGAACCCTGAAGGGAAACGGAAAAGAGGATGACCACGGAACACATCGTGTCGGCAATTGGGAGCAGATATGAAAAGGACTGCCCAGGACAGAGCTGGATGGAGAGTTCCGGTGGGTGGCCTATGTTTTTCCATAAGGGGTAACAGGCGTAAGTGGAAGAAGTGAGATTATGTATCAAAAAACAATCTTCATTTTACGTCACTGATTTAATTTTAAAAGAATTTGGTTAATTTTAACAGCAATGGCATTTATCAAACTACTTGGGAAATTGTCGGTGATGGTACATGATATTCTGAGTCAATTATTAACAAAGAAACCTGTTTAGCAGTAGCTGTACAGCAGTTTGTGAAAAGGATACCCTGATGGTCTGTTGCTGATTTACTCCTCCTTGTACGTTTGTTTGGACTGACATTTAGTTACTACTGAAGTAATTTTCCTGTAAGTAAGCAGTAAAGTTAAGAAGACAGTACATAACATATAGGTTATGTTGGGTCCATAAATCCAAAAAACTGTAGTAACAATCACCGCACCCATGACACGAGCCAATGCATTCAGTGAACGGAATATACCCAACGTTTGCCCCTAAAATTCAGATAAAATTGGAGGTTTTACATCGATACTGGCCCTGACTAAATATTACTTAAACAAACAAAATACTCTGTAGGTTGTTATCAGTGGCAGGAACGTAGTGTTAAAACCCATCATTTAGAACAGTTTTAACGGTGATAAGTAGAGAAAATTGCAAATGCATCTAAAATGTTGGATAGAACTATGTAAACTGATCTCAAAATCGCTACACCCTGTTGTTTAGATACCAAGTAAGAAGTATCATGTAACGCATTTTAAACAGAAATTATATTGATTATGTTGCAATAGTATAGGATGCTTCTTAGACTGAAGACAGAAGCACCTTTATAGGAGTATTCTCCGACTACAACAAACACTGATCATTGTGTTACAAAAAAGCTCTATTCTGCGATACATTATGTTCGTCACATTTCTAAAGCTAACAGATGATTAATGCAATTTATTAACAGAGGTCCTGTTTGCGAAAGCTAAAGATATTCCCGGAAAATTGTGGTTACCAAATATGTATTGCGAGAAAACTCATCTATGTTATATCGTAAAATATTTGTAAGGAAAAGATACGTTGTACAGTGTAAATAAATAGTTCAGGTATGTCAGTCAGATGAATGAGACTTCAAGATGCTATATATATATATATATATATATATATATATATATATATATATATATATATATATAATCTTGAGCGTTTGATCCGGTCCAGCCCAATAAACTTCTTTTTCTCTTAATTTTCTAACTCACTGAGTGAGTGAAGACTTCTGATACATACAAGAACCTTCTGTGTTAGTCTCGAGTACTGCGCGACATAACAGAAAGCTAAAACCTGTTTTTTGTGTGTGTTTAATAGGAGTTGGTTGCAAAGTTCCAATTATCTTGGAGACGGAATTGAAAATGTTAAAAGCTTATTCGTTTTAATCAAGAATATCATTCAAGTATTTGAACCACACTTCCGATTTCTGTGTTTTTAGGAAGTCTCCGTCATATAACAAGGAAGTGGTTAGGGTACATGCAATTTTTCACTCACACCTAAATATATTTCTAAACATACTTGTTGTTCTGCAGTAGTGTACAAAGAAACCAAACCGTTTACACTCGGAAAGAAGATGGAGGATGCAAATGCATATAAAGCTAGTCCGATATAGAAAACGAAAATATTTGTGGCGAAACTGAAAATGGCAGACGCCAAAATCAAACAGCAAGAACTCTGTTAAGAAAGAAAATAGAGAGAAACTGCCGTGTATAAATATTGTTAAAGAAATACTTTTTAGATGTAAGCATTCGACTGAAAAAGTAAAGTTACATCACTACATTGAAAAAAATGAATTTATATACAGTTAAACGTGTGGACTATTCTATCGTGCTCCGCGCCTCCAAATGCCCTGATACAGCCAAGAGTAGGGACAATCAGTTTTCCCTCCAAAAATGCTTTTATATGACCAAGTGTTTGTGGCCATTGTCAAAAAATTCTTGTTCCCTGACCTTTCCTTGTACGGTTATTTAGAAGTAACAGGACGAACAGCGAATACCCGACGTTTGAACTGCGTTGTTGAATTTGGGATATCCATCCATATATGCACAAAAGACGTTCAATTCCGGCTCAATAACGATACGCCGTAAAATTGATGGTGTAGCAATGGTAAGTCCGATAGGTCCAGATATTCTCATGAGTTATTTTGAAAACACGGAGCTTAGACAAGGAATTAACGAAATGACGGACTACTACAGATATGCTGATGACACGTTGATTGTCTGCAACAGTAGACAGTATGCAATCCACCCGTTGGAATTCTTCATTAATGCTCATTTCAATATACAATTTACCATGGAATAGGAAAAGAATGACATATTCCACTTTTTTGATAACGACAGACGTGATATTTCAACAACGGAGGGCATATCTTAGGTTTATCAGACATGTTCCACAAAGCCTACGAACAATTGCAACTACTAAACATCTCTTGCATATAGGATATCAGGTTGATATCTTGTAGTGTTTCTTGGGGATTAATCAGCAGCCAAGCTCCATTCTCCTGAAGCCGTTGCTATCAGGCGTCCGAAATCTGATTTATGTGTTCGAAAACAGATTGCTGTTAATGCTTTTTTGCTTCGGTGTTAAATATCCCTTCACTACATCGTCAAAATTTGTTCAACTCGTTCTTCCAATCAATTACATCACCAAGCCTTTTTATTCAGACTGTCATTTAGGTTAATATTCTTATTTCATTAACTGAGCATTAATGATTTTGTTCTTACTTATCATCAGTGTTTACTTTCCCAACATACTTAGATCAGACCTGTCTTCAAAATTGCCCAAGTGTGTGTGGAAAAAGAAAAATAAGGACATGAAGATTAGAATTTGGGAGAACACAAGGAGTGGATGCACCTGCGCCATTGCAAACGATTTTGAGCCATGTCATTCAGGGTCTCTAACCATCGGTTGCTATCATCTCGCGGTCCCCAACCAGGTAGTCTACACCTACCAACATGACTCAGTACACTTGTCATTGACTTCATGGACTTGTGCCATGTTTTGATCTGGCCGTCCCTAGATTTCTTCTAACCTACTCCTATACCACTGAGCATCGCACGTCGAGGCAGTCGGTAGTTGGGCATACGTAACGTGTCCCAGCCATCTCAACTGATGAAGTTTCACTACGTCATCAATTGATTTGCCATCCCTACCTAGTACCCGTTTCCTAACAACTGCATTACTTACTTGATGGACCCAGGATATACGAGCAATGTTTCGAAGACACCTATGATCGAATACTAGTAACATACGAATATCCTCTACTCTTACCGGTCATGTTTCACAGCCATAACGTAGAACGAAACGAACTGCTGCGCAGTACGCCTTTCCTTTGGTTGATAGACGGATATTTTGCCTACACCATAAATGACGCAAGGTGGCAAGATCTAATCAAGCCTTCTGTATCCGTGCTGAGATTTCGTTAATTATGTGGTATCACGGTGTCAATAAGAGAATCACACCATCTGAGTACTTCAAATAGATAAATGAGCTTTCAGAAAGATCAATCCCTAAAACGTTAGATCAAAATCACTGATAGGAAATATACGGTGGAATTAAATCATGCTAAGAAATGTGTGTAGCCCTGCGAACACTATGGATTCAGTCGATTCCGGTTAGCTAGGCTATCTACTTGAGTAATGAGCGTCCAGAAAGCAAACGTACCATTTTAGGACACACTTCAATCGAATGTTTGACCACAAACGAGGGCTGTTACGTAATGAAATTGGGCAAAGCTTGCGTAAGGACCGAGAAGCCTGGTGGTCGGAGCGTGCCGACGAGTTGGAAACAGCAGCTGAATCTGGTAACTACCGGAAGCTCTTCAAACTCATCCGAGCCACTAACAGCAAGAAGTCTGGTGTGAGCGAAACAATCTGTGAGGATGACGGGATGCCAATCACTAACATCCATTGACGTCTTGGGCGATGGGCAGTTTTTCGAGGAGCAGTTCAACTAGTCTGTTGCTCCGGCAACATCGATCAGACTGTACTGCCCTCCATGGCCGGAGAAGACTGATCCACCAAATGAGGCGGAAGTCCGCAAGGAACTCCAACTCTTGAAGCGCTACAAATCATCAGACGCAGATGACTTACCTCTAGCCCTTTTTAAAGATGGTGGTGACTTCCTGGTTAACGAACTGACATCGTTGTTTACAAACGTTTGGTAATTAGTCAGTGTCCGAACATCACGGAATGAATCGACAGTTGTCTCTATCCTTAAAAAGGGTTCACGTCGTTTCTGTAACAACTATCAAGGGATAAGTCTACTTGCGATTCCGTCCAAACTATTGGCTTCTGTCATACTTCGTAAATTGTTCAAAACCCGAGAAAGATTGACTCGCGAGGAGCAGGCTGGTTTTCGTTCTGGTCGACGATGTATTGATCATATCTTCACCCTCCGCCAAATGTTAGAACACCGCCATAGTTATCAAAGGCCAACAATCGTAGTGTTTCTTGACATTAGGGCCGCCTTCGAATCGTTGGACAGGACTGTTCTCTGGGATTGTCCATTGGAGGAGGGTGTACCGGAAAAGTTTCTTGACATCTTAAAGGCACTATATACAAACACCTCAGGTAGAGTGAGGGCAGTACGACTTCGCCCTCAGACCTTGAGTTGCTGCCTTTAGTCTTACCGTTCTCTAGTCGACCTGCCTGGCATGGTAGAACCTACAGGAACATATGTTCCAGCCAATATAGCTCGGTTGGGTCATCACGATAGGAAGCCCGACCACCGCGTCAAGGTAGCAGCTACGGTCGGGTGTCACACTGAGTTCAAATAGACATATTGAGTGGCGATTATTTTTAGAAGAGACGAATGGTCAAACGATAGTTTACCAATGCAACTGACTGAGTTGTACACAAAACTTGAAATCAAAAGGTCAAATCTAATATGATGGTATATTATTCCGCCATTGTACTTCAAAAGCGTGATAACTTAAGCAATGAAAGGAACAAATTGGGACGGAAAGAATTCAGTAATGGTAAACCTATCAGGCGAAATTAATAACGCTGGTTCTGTATTCTTAAATGTTAAGTGATGTTCGTGGACGACGAAGAGTTCGCACTTTTCTGAAGTGTTTAAGCACGTGTTGAGGCGAAATAACTGCTGACGGAAATATTAGGGGTGCAATTGCTTAAATAAGACAGGTGAATGAATACACATCACTGCAGCTTGCTGCACGGCTTTAATGTTACTTGGATTAACTTTATTTTGTTTATTTTGCTGTAATTTTAAATGTACTACGAATGGATATATAGTAAGTGCTATCATTTTTATAGGTTATCTGTAACTTTGATGTTATTACTAGAGTCTCGTAATGCCAATATTTCATTTAAGAGGCATATACCGGTCGATGATTTTTCGAAGCTTTTAATTTTTGCCAAAATCTGTGGGAACAGTTAATGTTATGTTCCAGATGAGCGACGGGCGAAGTTATTATTCAGTGAAACTGTCCGAGTCAGAAAAAATCAACATTTCACAGCTACAAAATTAATACAGGTTAAATGCATTTATTCCAATTACGAAAGTCATTAATGCAGTTGCTGAGAAATTCAGTTTTAAAATAATGCGAACAGAACTTACCCATGTAATGGCTTTGTCTTCTCCACCAAGTTTGAAGCTACGTATAAAGCAGGCTAGTTTTAGATAAAAGATAAATTACCTTTTCATATACAATGCCTTGTCAAGATAAAAAATATCAGAACATTATAGGAATCATGAGCTTTAACTAATAATCCATATATAATAAATGCTTAGTGTGATCCAAATGTATGATGCATGATTTTGTTTATCATCTTAGCTGAAGTCATATTTATTTTAAATTATGACATAAAGCCAAAGCAAACAAGTTATATTGCTGTTTACTTACAGACACAATATACTAAAATTTTTAATGAATTTTGGAGATTTTGAAGTTAGGTCTTACTATTGCTGGATATCGTTGACATTCCGCTAGATCGATATGGATCAAAATCTGATTATTAGTAAAACTATTAAAAGTATGAATTCATCTTTAGGTTGAAATATATTTTAAGCTCATTATCATCGAACAAACGGACAATAGCACGCTACCAGCTAGAATGTACAATGAGTTTGCACACCAGTGTACTACAAAATTTGAAAGATTCACTACTCAAAAGGAAAAGCTCATCAACAGGATTTACAAAACTATTTTAAAAGACTGTTGATACTACTCCATTTGTCAAATGAAGTTTGGGGAAGTTACAACAATCCATGAACGTCCGGTAGCGGCCAAAGGACATTTTGTTATTGATAATTATAGCATGCGCAGGCAACTACAACTATACCTTTGATTGGGAAAATGTGAAAGTCTAGCAGTGCATAGGCTTGGAAATTAGATAATTCTAAATAGTATGGGATTTGGAGGGAATAGTTACCACTACTAACTTAGGTATAGATTCGGTTAGTAAATCACATAAAAGAAGAAGGTAGCTGGAAGTAGGTCAGTTACCCCAGTAACAAGTATATAAGAAAGGATTTCTAGGCCATTATTGATGATTCTGACACTGAAGTTTGCACGACTTGCCTAGTTTCATAAGCGAACCTATTTTACTGTTCGTATTAGTAGCTTATAATTCTGATCACTAATTCAAAATATCTTAAATCATTAGCGAGGCAACTTTGTATAGAACACATGGATGATATACTAGTTATATGTGATAAAGATTTTGAGGTATCCCAGTTATTAGATAAACTCAATGGGGTTCAAAACGAGGACGAATTCACAGGTTTATTGAAGCCTTAGCTATTTGTAAATTTACCCCCCCCCCTTATGTGTACAAAAACAATTTGTCGTAACCCTGAATTTACCCTGGTAATCCTTAAGTCATTCTATGGCCTAGGATAACGCAACAATTTCTTATTCCTTCTATACGATGTAAAATTGTTTCTCTCCCCTTTGTTACCTTTTCTACTTGAACTTTCATTTAATTGACCCTTAGTAATTTTCATATAAAATGCCCTGACAAGTATATGTGTGACCAGATTGTTCGAAATATATAGCGCAAATATATCACATTTTTCAGGTCAACTCCGTCTTCTCATTGTTCTATCGGAATTTATGTAAGGGACTAATTGCTTTAAATATCTTCCAAAACTACCAGTTAGGAAAATCAGCAGATCACAGCTCTGTTGATTTCCTAGATAGATTCATTCAAATCCCTTAAAGACATTAGAAATTGAAAAGGCATGTTGATATGTGAGCTTTATCATGAAGTAAATAAACAGGAAATTGGAAATTTTATAAGTTCGCTAATTAGTAGTTCAGTCTGAATATTCTTTGGGACTTACCTTGAACTAGAATCATTATTATCCCAATAAACCCGAACATTCTGCCTTGATCAGAGCTAGTAACGAAAATGAAATAAGATACAATAAGAGAACTCGTCAGAAAAATTATAGTGGTATGTACACATACTGCACTAGCAAATAAGAAATTTCAAAATGAAATTAATTTTATAAACAAGGATTTCACATTTAATTGAGATCATGAACCGATTGATGTTAGAGCATCACAATTGAAAACCTGGAAGCACTGGACGGCCATTTCGTCCTATTGTGGGACTCCTCAGCAGTGCGCACCCACGACCCCGCGAGCGGGATTCGAACCCGGGGCCTTCGGTCTCGCGCGCCAACGCTTAACCAACTGGACCACTGAGCCGGCATCCAACGGTGATACTTTCTAACATCAACCAATCCACGAAATTGCGCGACCAACTTCCATTGTACTGAGGTAGATAACTGTCTCTACCCGACAAGGATTAGCTCCACTGGTCACGGCTTCTCACTAGAACTCCGAGAATTCCCTCACGAAGCTAGTTAGAAAGTATCACCGTTGGATGCCGGCTCAGTGGTCCAGTTGGTTAAGCGTTCGCGCGCGAGACCGAAGGCCCCGGGTTCGAATCCCGCTCGCGGGGTCGTGGGTGCGCACTGCTGAGGAGTCCCACAATAGGACGAAATGGCCGTCCAGTGCCTCCAGGTTTTCAATTGTGATGCTCTAACATCAATCGGTTCATGATCTCAATCAAAAACTTAATAATCTCCACAACCCCTATACTAGTATTTCACATTTAAGCAACAAATCCCAATACAACGGGTTAAAACACATTCAACTAATTAAAATGCACTAATAAATAGCTTATTACCAATAAAAAATACTTTGCAACCAATAATGATTTTGCTGCTCCAGTCTTATTATTTATTTATTTCGACAAATAAATATTGGTACAAGAGGGCACCAAATATATGTGCGCCACACCATATTTGTGTGTGTGTGGGCTGTGATACTGCCCGGGTGCCCAGACCGAAGCAGTCCTAGCAATAACATTTATCTCATTCTAACCATCAACTTCGCTTTTTTCCTACGTTTAATCATCTAGGTATGAAGCTGTTGGGGACGATAGATCCCCAAACTCATAATTTTAAATTTTATCTTATCGATCAAATGTTAGATATTTTTATTGGGGTCAATTGATGAACTATCGATTAAATGCGCAAATAGGTCAATTAATGAACTCATTGATTAATGTTTAAAAATTTTCTATGACAATATCGATTGTAAATAATTGTATAAATACGCTTGACTTGTATGCTTGATCTGATCTGCCTGCCTGACTTGTTATCTGCTGTTGCTTGTAGAATATACTTTCTACGCCTTACCAAGACTTCTTGATCGAGTTAGCTGAGTCGAAGACAACGGACCAGAATAGTCTATCGAGTCGCTGAATCATTGATCCTTCGTTCCGTTCGAGTAAGACGCATCAGTAATCGCATTCAAGCAATAACGAAACATAACAAATTGGCGACGGTGGTTTTTCGATTATGGACCCTGCCAAACTTGAACTGTTACTTGAGCAGCAGCTAAAATTGATGCAAATGTTAATGGAGACCAAGGTTACGCCTCCTTTACAGCCAAGCACGTCTAATTCAACCACGGCACCATCAGTAGATGGCATCACAAATAGCATAGCTGAATTTCATTACGATCCTGATTCTAATGTTACTTTTGAAATGTGGTTCAGGCGTTATGAAGATCTATTTAAATTTGATTTCGCCAATCAAAATGATGCTTGGAAAGTGCGGCTGCTACTTCGTAAACTGGGTGCAAATGAGCTGGACAAGTATTGTAATCTGATCTTGCCGTTGAACCCACGTGACCGATCATTTGCAGACACAGTTCAAACATTAATCCAACATTTTGGCGATAACTCGTCACTGTTTAATACTCGTTATCGTTGCTTGAAGCTAACTATGAACGAAGATGATGATTTTCTTACGCATGTGGGCGTCGTCAACCGTGAATGCGAACGCTTCCGGTTAAAGTCCTTGACTGAAGATCAGTTTAAAGCCCTGATCCTTATTTGCAGCCTACAGCACCAAAAGTTCAGTGACTTACGAACAAGGCTACTAAGTCGTTTGGATCAAGAACCGAAACTCACCCTGAGTGATATAGCTAATGAATATCTACGTCTCATTAATCTTCAACGAGACACTTCTATGGTCCAGAGTGGTGGTTCTAGCCGATTTGAAGTACGAGCGGTGCAACAGACACCTCACAAAAACAAACACGTCCCCGCTTCATCCAGTCCATCTCACTCCAGCTCTAGACGACAGACTAAAGCAACTCCTCCTGCTCCTTGCTGGCAATGTGGTGCATGGCACTACGTTCGAAACTGCCCATTTAAACAACATCGATGCAAGAAGTGTAAGGTTATCGGTCATAAGGATGGGTTTTGTCTGTGGAAGAAGACTCCAAGTCAATCAAGAAATACCAACAAGACCTGTCCTAGATCCCGCACCAGTTCATTGAGCCTAGTATCTTCGTGTCAAAGCTCATCACCAAGTCAGAGAAAATTTATTACTGTTAACATTAATGGGCATTCATCTAAATTGCAAATAGATACAGCATCAGATGTCACTATCCTCTCTCGTAAGACTTGGATCAAAATAGGCAGCCCAAACATGCAGCATACAACGCAAAAGCTTCGTACTGCCTGTGGTAATTACCTTCACCTGCTAGGAAAAATGGAATGTACAGTTACCTTCCGTGATTTGGCATTTGTTGGGGTATGCTACATAACCCCAGCTGATCTAAATTTGCTCGGGTTAGATTGGTTTGATCACTTAAAATTAGCTGATGTCCCGTTGAATACCATATGCAACCTGGTATCACAACCACAACTGCGACAACAACCACATGACTTCGAATCATATACCAGCACCCTAATGACGCAGTTTTCAACTATTTTCCAACCTGGATTGGGTCGCTGCTCTGTCATGAAAGCAACACTTCGATTGAAAACTGGGGCTAAGCCTGTTTTTCGCCCAAAGAGACCTGTCCCTTATGCAACATTACAAACAGTAGATGAAGAATTGAACCGCCTTCAACAACAAGGAGTTATCACTCCCGTTTCCTACTCTGCATGGGCAGCACCTATCGTGGTTATTAAGAAGGCCAACGGCACGATACGTATATGTGCTGACTTTTCAACAGGTCTCAATGCAGCTCTGGAACAACATCATTATCCCTTGCCTGTTCCCGCAGACCTATTTACCATGCTGAATGGGGGAAGATTTTTCGCTAAGCTGGATCTAGCTGATGCTTATTTGCAAGTGGAAGTAGACGAAGCATCAAGAGAGCTGTTAACTATCAATACTCATCGTGGTTTGTTCCAGTATAACCGTCTACCTTTCGGAGTCAAAACTGCACCATCTATTTTCCAACAATTAATGGATACCATCCTATCAGGTATCTCGGGAGTCGCGGCTTATTTGGACGACATTTTAATTGTAGCAACGACATTAGAACAAATACGAGAACGCACGACATTGGTACTGCAACGCATCAGTGACAACGGGTTCCGGTTACGCCCAGAGAAATGCCAGTTTCATTTGCAGTCGGTAAAGTAATTGGGGTTCCTTTTCGATGCCGACGGCCGCAGGCCGGATCCTGAGAATATCCGAGCTATCAAACTGATGCCCACTCCCACTAATGTCTCGGCACTACGTTCCTTCCTGGGACTTGTCAGCTATTACTCAGCGTTCGTTCCATCGATGCATGATATTCGCGCTCCACTCAATAGCTTACTGCAGAAGAACAGCTCTTGGAACTGAACAAAACAGTGTGACACTGCCTTTTGTAAACTGAAGTCCATTATTAGTTCTGAATTGCTGTTGACACACTACGATCCAGCCATGGCGATCATCGTAGCTGCAGACGCTTCAGCGTATGGCCTAGGCGCTGTTATCTCCCATCAGTTTCCGGATGCGTCGGAAAAAGCCATCATGCATGCAGCCCGTACACTAACCCCAGCAGAAAAAAATACAGCCAGATAGAAAAAGAAGCGCTTGCACTTGTGTTTGCTGTGAGCCGTTTCCACAAGTTCCTGTACGGTCGGAGATTCACGCTTCTCACAGATCACAAGCCTTTACTCGCAATATTCGGGTCGAAATCTGGGATTCCAGCTCATTCAGCAAATCGCCTTCAGAGATGGGCTTTAGCACTCTTGGGGTATGATTTCGAGATCCAGTACCGACGCACTCAACAATTCGGTCAGGCGGATGCCTTATCACGACTCATTAGTGACCAGTTGGCGGCTGAGGAAAACACGGTAATTGCATCTCTGCTAGCGGAAGACCACGCCGAATGTTATCTGACGACCGCAATACGAACTTTGCCGGTATCTGCAACGGACATACAAAATGCTTCTAAGAGCGACCCCATCATCAAGAGAACTATGAACTATGTCACCAACGGTTGGCCGACTAAGAAGTTTGATGGTGATATAAAACAGCTGTATCAGCGGCGGGATTCTCTATGCATTGTGAACGACTGCTTGATGTTCGGAGAGAGAGTGGTTGTGCCAGAATCCCTTCGTGCAAAAGTGCTGAAACAGTTCCACCTTGGTCATCCGGGGGTTAGACGAATGAAATCCATAGCCAGGAGTCATGCGTATTGGCCGCTAATGGGTCAACATATAACAGGATTGGTTGGGAAATGTATGCGGTGTCAGCAAGCGGCAAAAATGAACGCCAAAGTTCCACCAGTTTCATGGCCACAACCTGATCATCCTTGGTCCAGAATACACGTCGACTTTGCAGGCCCGATTAACGGAACCATGTATCTAGTTGTAGTCGACGCCCTTTCGAAATGGCCTGAAATCAACCCTATCATACCGCCAACGACAACTAAAACAATACAGATCCTCACAGAAATTTTCTCCCGAAATGGTATACCAGATGCCATTGTATCTGACAACGGTTCACAGTTCACCTCAAGCCAATTTCAAGAATTTCGCAAACGCCTATCGATCAAGCATTTCCGCTCTCCACCTTACCACCCACAGTCAAATGGACAAGCAGAAAGATTTGTGGATACATTCAAGAGAGCTCTAATGAAGTCGAAAGGGGAGGGGACGCCAGTAGAAACACTGCAGAATTTCTTGTTTGTTTACCGAACAACACCTAGTGATATGCTACCACAGCAGAAGTCCCCGGCAGAGATCCTGATGGGAAGGAAATTGAGGACGATCCACAGTCTCATGTGCCCAAGAACCACACCACCACCATCTCAGACCAAATCTCAGAAGCTTCCAGCGTACGAGGTTGGATGCCCTGTGTTCGCTCGAGACTACAGAGCAAATCATGGTCCCTGGATCGAAGCACGTGTGGTCGGAAGACTAGGCCAAGTTATGTACGAGGTAAAGGTGGGAAGAGACACATGGACTAGACACCGAAATCAACTACGTAAGCGGATAGCCCCAGACCACCCATCAACAGGACTAAATCTTCCTCTCGACATCTTGCTTGATACTTTCAACTTACCGGCAACCCTACCACAAGAAAAACTCCAACAACAATCTGGAACACGTCCCAGACGATGGCCTATAAGAGAACGGCGAGCTACAGTCAAGATGCAGGTTGACCCCAGGAAAGCCCGCTATTAAAAAGGGGAGGAGTGTTGGGGACGATAGATCCCCAAACTCATAATTTTAAATTTTATCTTATCGATCAAATGTTAGATATTTTTATTGGGGTCAATTGATGAACTATCGATTAAATGCGCAAATAGGTCAATTAATGAACTCATTGATTAATGTTTAAAAATTTTCTATGACAATATCGATTGTAAATAATTGTATAAATACGCTTGACTTGTATGCTTGATCTGATCTGCCTGCCTGACTTGTTATCTGCTGTTGCTTGTAGAATATACTTTCTACGCCTTACCAAGACTTCTTGATCGAGTTAGCTGAGTCGAAGACAACGGACCAGAATAGTCTATCGAGTCGCTGAATCATTGATCCTTCGTTCCGTTCGAGTAAGACGCATCAGTAATCGCATTCAAGCAATAACGAAACATAACAGAAGCAAGAGTTAAACGGTAGATTCATGTTCAGAAGCGTATCAAACATCAGGGCTCTCAATATGATGCTAAATACTATTATATACATATAAACCTGTGAAAAACCTTTGGTAATTGGAGATTATTTAAAATATATGGAATAAACTCAACACAATAAATTAATAGATATAAGCAAATGGTAATTTTTCGATTCAGATGCAAATGATTAACTATTCACCTACAAACTGGTGACTTTTGTCATCCTAAATAAACAAAAGACACGACCACCGTATACCAACAGCTATGTTTATGAGAATGAGAGGATTCCTATACGAAACTAACTGACCTTGAGAAATTAAAGCGTATTCTAGCCAAAAACAGTATTGTATATTCTATTCCGCAGTATACGCACAAGTAGCCGCACCAAAAGTATGCCAAATGACGCAAAGATTTTTCATCTACGTAAGACATTAGGTAAATACGGGTTAGTGTTTAATTTTACGAACTGACTATTGCATAAGGGCAATTACTAAACGGATAATCCCCAGAAAAAAATACAGAGTTGAATAACAAACTAAACTCACATTTAGTACATTTCGTTGTGCCAGTTAGTGAAAACAACTTCACCGGATTTATCAAACGTACTGCTTGGTTGATTAATAGACCGATATTTCCGCCCTGGAAAAATAGAAATAAACACAGACATTTTTTACCCGTTCACATGGCCTTTTATAAACTTCAATTCTACTAAAGTCGGTCGAACTCTTTTGTTAACTTTAATATTAATATAGTTTACTATCACTACGAAAAAACACAGACACTAATTACGCCTGTTACCCCTCATGGAGAAGCATAGGCCGCCCACCGGAACTCTCCATCCAGCTCTGTCCTGGGCAGTCCTTTTCATATCTGCTCCCAATTGCCGACACGATGTGTTCCGTGGTCATCCTCTTTTCCGTTTCCCTTCAGGGTTCCAAGTTATCGCTCGCCTTGTGATGCAGTTTGATGATTTCCACTATGTATTGTCCTATCCACTTGATGAGTCGTTGCCTTTTTGGCTTTTCTGCCTACGCTCCCACTGACTGCAGCTCGGATGAAGTGAAGGATGAATTTTACAGAAAGCTATCTGAACTTCTTCAGAAAACTAAACGTTCAGACATAGTACTCGTAGCAGGTGACTGACTGGTCATAATCACTGATTTCCCCAATATGTAAGAGGTCAAAATCATCCTGTGATAACCATAGAGGGATTAGTTTGACCAATATAGCATCTAAAACAATAGCCTCGATAATTATCGGACGCCTAACTAAGACTCGTGAACTGCAAATACGAGAAAATCAGTTTGGCTTCAGACCTGGTCGTGGCTACATCGACCACATATTCACTATTCGTCCGGTTTTAGAACACAGGTATGCTTATCGGGGTTCGACAATGGTGGTCTTTCTTGACTTAAAAGCAACATTTGACTCTGTAGACAGAGAAGTTCTGTGGCTGTGTCTGTCACCTATGGAAAAGGCGAGATGTCAGTCTATCAATGAAAGGATGGGTATACCTCGCGGCAGTTCGTTCTGTTTTACTTTACGGCTGCGAAACGTGCCCATTAAGAGTTGAAGATATCCGTAAGTTGCTAGTATTTGACCACAGATGCCTTAGAAATATTGCTGTGATCACCGGGTGAGTAATATTGAGGTTAGACCCAGGGTATTAGAGAATGATGGTAAATCAGTTAATGAGGTTGTGAATCTTCATCGACTGAGATGGTTGGGCCACGTGTAGTGTACGCCTGAACACCGATTACCACGACGTGCAATCCTAACCGGTGTTGGAGATGGTTTGAAGAAAGTAAGAGGCGGCCAAACCAAAACGTGGCATCAGTGCTTGGAGTCACTAACTTCTGGTCTGAGCCGTGTTGGTAGATGCAGACTACTTGGTTGGGGTCCGCGTGACTCGTAACCAATGGTTAGAGATGCTAAATGACATGGCTTAGAATCTATCACAATGGCATAGGTGTATACACTCTTTGTCTTCCCTTAAACTGTGAGATTAAAATCGCTTCATATCTTTCTTTCTACGTACTAAATCTTTGTTCCTCTAATATACCTTTATATGCAATCTTTGTTTAATATATTACCATTGACTTAACTACTATGAATCCAATGTTCATCTTGCTGTGCTAATGCGGTATGGCAACTTGGACCGATGCATATGTGTGCCTGGTCCTACGTTGTAGCTGACTGACTGAAGTCATAAAAGTGTGAGATGTGTTCGGTTCGGATGCATAATCTGTATAACCTTCAGTTTCAAGATATTTGTCTAAAGCATATCTACTGTTGCAAAGTGAAACATTAAGCTCAAAATAAAAAAATTTGATGTTTACAAATGCGTCAGTTAAAGAATAATTTTCAGAAATGTGATATAACATGAGAAAACATACCTTTTGTAATGTACTCGGCAGAGCAAAAATCAAGATTAAGAGATTTACACAATTAAGAAGCAAACACGTAGAACCCAGCATACAGCTCAAGTATTCAGTTGATGTATGTACTTTCCACTGGCTAAGTAAGATAACTGAGCATGGTGGTCCTACAGTGAATCCGATACCATAAGCCAGGCCAACAACCGCCATTCCTTTAGTACGCAACGTATCACTGCTGATATCGCCAACAAGTGCTGATACAACACCGACATTTGCTCGTGCAGCACCACATAATACACGATACATCAGTAGCCACAGAAATGACTTACCCAACGCTGACCAGAGAACATTAACAATTATAAGCGATACCTGTTGAATGGAAAAAATGTAGCAAATAAATAATCATTATGTAAAACTAATTACATCGTACTTCAACACAACATGTTATCTAGTAGTGAGTAAATACTATTCCGCCTGTAGCTCTTCTGGAGTTACTGTCAGTCCCATGCACAGACAAAAGAGGAGGGTCGGGCATGAGATCGGCAACCCCATCCCGTAGATAACAACATTGCTATAAAAACGCTAACTAGGTTAAACTAATTAAACCATTTAAAGTGTGCCCTCCGGGTTGAAGGATCGTCGTGCAGAAGAATTATGATGCCTCATGATGAAAGCCCAAATTCTTCGGTAGTCACGAGGCCGATGCACCTTCCAACAACCAGAACAAAAATCAACATGGGTACATGGAATGTCCGGACAATGTGGGAAACCGGGAGGACCAGTCAAACAGCTACGGAAATGAGTAGATACAATTTGGCAGTACTCGGACTCAGCGAAACCCATTGGACCCAAGCTGGACAGAAAAGAATGGACTCAGCAGAGATGCTGCTGTACCCTGGTCACGAAAAATATAATGCTCCGAACTGACAGGGAGTCATTCTGAAGCTGTTCGAAAAGCACGAAGTGAACTTATAGGATGGGAATTTCACGGATCCAGGATCAGCGAAACATCCTTCAAAGCAAAATAGAAGGGAATCACAATGAATGCTATCCAGTGTTATGCACCCACCGATGGTAGCAACGACGACAATAAAGACCAGTTTTATGAGAGGCTACAATCGATCATAGAGCTGTCAGTAAAGAACCTGACAATCGTGATGGAAGATCTAAACACCAAAGTTGGAATGAACAACAACGGTTATGAAGATATCATGGGACGACATGGATTAGGAGAAAGGAACGAAAATGGTGAGAGATTTGCAAATCTATATGCCCTCAACAAAATGATTATAGGTGGTACAATACTCCCCCATAAATTCATACACAAATCGGAGGAATAAATCAGGGAGAAGCGCTGGAAGTGGATAGGACACATATTGAGGAAAGCACTGAACTGCGTCACAAGACAAGCCCTCCCTTGAAATCCTCAAAGCCAAATGAGGAGGGGAAGACCAAAGTACACATTACGCCGAGAAATGGAGACAGACATGAGAAGAATGAACAACAATTGGGTAGAACTAGGAAGGAAGGCCCAGGTCAGAGTGAGTTGGAGAATGCTAGTCGATGGCCTATGCTCCATTGGGAGTAACAGGCGTAAGTAAGTAAGCCTCAAGTGGATAGAACATACACTATGAAGACCAAACTCCATCACTCAAGATCTGAAGGCGAAGTCGTACTGCTGACTGTAGAGAGATGTGACAGCAGTAAGGTGTTTCCCTCGGACAACCAGCATGACAACGATGCTGCCTTCCCACAAGGAGGGGTGGGGTTAGAAAAGGTCGACCCTAAAAATGTCACACCTCACCTTACCTCACAGATTTCCGTCTCCGGCGGTAAGGCCCTTTGAAGAACGGGGCTAACACATTAAAAACCTTCCACAAAAAGACCGTGCGCGACCGGCCTCAAGCAGTTGTCCCTTGGGCTCTGCGGTCACGCTCCCAGGTCGTCAAGACCAACCCTAATCCGACTTCTATTTCAGGTTCCTCAAGAAATACCCTTCCACAGTGTGGGCAGCCGGGAAGTGATATCAGCCCTCATACCCGTAACAGCGCACGAGACCAAGTTGGTCACATTCAAATCCTTCCTACACCTCCTAATAACTCTGATCTCTACTACTAACCCTCCCCACGTCTCTTTATCACCTCGCACCGCTAGGGCAAACGACTCGAGTACGCGGAACGCTATTCCTGGTCTCCTGAAACCACGCTCTAAACTACACGTAGGAGCTTTTAACGTCCGAACACTGTGCCAAATAGGACAGCAGGCTTCCTTAGCTAAGACTTTAGAATCCCGCGCCATCGATGTGTGCTGCGTCTCCGAAACGCGCATACAGGATCCGAGTAGCGTCATTCATTTGACCTCACTATGTCAACATAAAGAACCAACTCGATTCACACTTCGTGTATCTGGAAGCCCTGATTCTGCTTCCCGTGGCCTCGCCGGCGTAGGTATAGCATTGAGTCCTAGGGTAAAATTAGCTCTCTTAGACTGGATCCCAGTAGACAGTCGTTTGTGCGCTATCCGACTAAACGGAACAGTAAAGATCCGAAAACATAGGGACACTCGTCGTTGCCTCTTCGTCGTCTCTGCCTATTTTCCCACTGACTGCAGCGCAGATGATGTCAAAGATGAGTTTTACAGAAAGCTCTCCGACCTTCTCCGAAAAGCTAGGCGCTCGGATGTAGTAATAATGGCCGGTGACTTTAATGCTCAAGTAGGTAAACTAAGCGATAGGGAAAGACACCCAGGTGGGTCTTATAGCATCGTGGCTCAAAGAACAGATAACGGCGACCGTCTGTTGCAGCTATGCTCAGATAACCGCCTGTTCCTTGCAAATACTAACTTTAAGCATAAGGAAAAACATCTTTTAACATAGCGACCCCCTAATTCGTCCCAACGTTGGAACCAAATAGATCACATCGCTATCAGCCACCGATGGAGGGGTTCGATAGAAGACTGTCGCTCATTCTGGAGCACATGCTTAGATTCAGATCATGCTCTAGTACGAGCGCGTATCTGTCTGCGTCTTACTGGACGTAGTAAAGACGCTGCAAGGAAACCTCTTAGGGGCCTACTTAATGATAGCCAAGCTGAGAGTATATTTCAGGAACAACTAGGAAAACACTTAGGCAGCCATGTATGTGATGCCCACCCCGAGGCAGCATGAGATGATATCCGAAAATATGTGGAAACAGCATTGGTATCTGCTAGTACGGTAACCCGTAAGGTTAGGGAGCAACACTGGATCTCAGCAGCATCTATCTCACTGATAGATGCTCGGGAGCTCATTCCAACTGGCTCTGAACTTAATGAAGAGCGGAGTCAGCTTAAGCGCAAGCTGACAAGAAGTCTACGCAATGATCGTGAACAGTGGTGGGTAGCGAAAGCAAGAGAGATGGAAAAGGCAGCGGCAATAGGTAATAGCAGACAATTGTTCAGACTTGTTAAGGAAACCGGTATTAGGAACCCGACTGTTAGCGAAATACTCCCAGAGAAAGAGACATTATACATTCTCAATCCAGGAGATTGGATCGATGGGCAGAACACTTTAGGGATCAGTTCAACTGGCCATCAGCCACACTTCGGTTTCCCACGATCTCCAGTCAACCTGAATGGCAAGTTAATGTAGGTCTTCCGTCTCTTTACGAAGTTGAAAAAGCCATAGGAAATCTGAAGCGAGGGAGAGCAGCAGGCCCTGAAAGGTTTACTCCTGAGATTTCTAAGGATGGTGGTTCAATATTAGCAGTGAGATTAACTGAGGTCTTAGGTAGGATTCGGGAACTGGACATAATCCCATCTGACTGGTCTCAATCACTGATTGTGCCAGTCTATATGAAAGGACAAAAGTCCTCTTGTGACAATCACAGAGGAATCAGTTTGAAAAACATAGTGTCGAAAACATTAGCTTCAATAATACTTCGACGCCTAACTAAAGCTCCTGAAGAGAAGACTAGAGAAAACCAGGCTGGTTTTCGACCTGGACGTGGTTGTATAGACCACATATTCACACTACGTCAGGTTCTAGAACACAGATACACGTTCAGACGCCCCACAATCGTAGTATTTCTCGACCTTAAAGCAGCATTCGACTCTGTCGATCGTAAGGTTCTATGGCAGTGTTTGTCACTGAAAGGAGTACCAAAGAAGTACATTAACCTTATAAAGGCTCTCTACTCGAACACAACTGGTCGAGTGAGAGCTTATGGCGAACTGTCATCAGAATTGATTACCTCAAGTGGTGTTCGTCAGGACTGTTTACTCTCTCTATTCTTGTTCAACTTTGTCGTCGACGTACTTTTAGAGATAACACTTTCCTCGTCTAGATTTCCAGGGGTTGAACTTCTACCGGGAGATTCACTTGTTGACTTAGAATATGCCGATGACATAGTTCTATTTGGTGAAGACGCTGACAAAATGCAGAGTCTTCTGACCACTCTAAGCAACAATGCAAGCATGTTCGGCATGAGATTCTCTCCCTCGAAATGCAAAATGATGCTTCAGGATTAGGTTGCATCGACACCCGAACTAATGATAGGGAGTGTAGTTGAGCGTGTCGACCGCTTAACTTATCTGGAAAGTCTCATCAGCCCTTGTGGTCTGGTGTGTGACGAAGTCTCAGCACGGATACAGAAGGCTTGATTAGATCTTGCCAACTTGCGTCATTTATGGTGTAGGCAAAATATCCGTCTATCAACCAAAGGAAAGGCGTACTGCGCAGCAGTTCGTTTCGTTCTACTTTATGGCTGTGAAACATGACCGGTAAGAGTAGAGGATATTCGTATGTTACTAGTATTCGATCATAGGTGTCTTCGAAACATTGCTCGTATATCCTGGGTCCATCAAGTAAGTAATGCAGTTGTTAGGAAACGGGTACTAGGTAGGGATGGCAAATCAATTGATGACGTAGTGAAACTTCATCAGTTGAGATGGCTGGGACACGTTACGTTTGCCCAACTACCGACTGCCTCGACGTGCGATGCTCAGTGGTATAGGAGTAGGTTAGAAGAAATCTAGGGACGGCCAGATCAAAACATGGCACAAGTCCATGAAGTCAATGACAAGTGTACTGAGTCATGTTGGTAGGTGTAGACTACCTGGTTGGGGACCGCGAGATGATAGCAACCGATGGTTAGAGACCCTGAATGACATGGCTCAAAATCGTTTGCAATGGCGCAGGTGCATCCACTCCTTGTGTTCTCCCAAATTTTGATCTCCTTATTCCTCCTTGTGTTTTTTTCTCTTCCCAAATTTATTTCACTGTATTATACTCTTTAAATAGCATCTCCAAACACTAATTTTCCCGATTACTGCTTATACTCTTATTACCTCTACCACTACGGGATTTGAATCGACCACTGCATCTCTGTGCTAATGTGGTGTGGCAACTCGAACTGACGTACGTACGAACGAAGTCCTACGTTTTTACTGACTGACTGACTGCATCACGAAGCGAGTGCCAACTTGGGATCCTGAAAGGAACAAGAATAAAGGAAGACCAAGGAACAGATTGTGTCGGTAATTGGAAGCAGATATTAAAAGAATTGCACAGGAAAGAGTTGCATGGAAAATGCTGGTGGCAGCCAATTTTCCTCTACGAAGGATAACAGGCGTAAGGAAGTAAGCATGTAAGGAAAGTAAGTGTGATTGGCCGCTGAGTGTGGACAGACAGGCGTGCAGCCTAATGATTATTAAATATTTGATTTTCTTCCCTCTTATTAATTTATAATCCGGACTAACCGAGAGTAACAGCATTCAATTTTGTAGAATAAAGTATTGTTTAGTGTTAATCTGGCTCTTTGCTCGTGGTCGTGAGTCGGGTAGCTGGTGTAACGTGATCTAGCGGGTCGTTCGATTATTCAATCTAGTGGTATTGTGAACTCGGTAACTCAGATCAGTTTTATTACCGTGTTACCGTAGTATACTGAAGAAAGAGAAATATTTTAATTCATTCGTCATTTCACTATTGCACTTCAGCCATAATTAAAAGAAGAATAGCCTTGAAAGTTTGCGTTAAGAAAAGCCAGTAAGTCAATGTAATTTACTTCACATTCACAACTTAATAGCAGTATTAAAGCACAATTAATCAGAAATTGTTCCCACTTTTCTACGATTGGAATCCTAACTGCATTGATTTAGTTTGCCCTTAAATTATAAAATCATCCTTATCAACTAAAACATCTACGGATTTCTCTACCTACTCTACAATAGTAGTTATTTCCAATTGCACGCCAACTATATTCTGCTAAAGTTAGTTTAAAAAGATATGCTGATGCATCATAAACTGTGTTACTTTTCCACATTATACGCAAGTTGCACAACTGTTACTGACGTTTTCTAAAACGATGTCTTTATGCTACTCAGGAAAATTATAGATGAAAACAGCCAAGTCATATATATGTATATATATCACCACAAACCTGAAGGACAACTAAGACCGATTTTCTGCCAAAATAGTCTGATAAAGCTCCGGCTACAGGCGACGATACAAATTGCACCAAAGATGATAATGACGACAGAAGGCCTAAAATGAAAATATTGCTGCTAAACTGAGAAGCATACCTCCAATGAATACTCTGTCCCATGTAGAACCTTCTTGAAATCCCAAAACAAAACCCAGGTATTGGATATATTTTTTGGACAAAGTATAAAACCATTCCTTTTGTAATATACAAATAATGCAACTTACTTTTTCAGACTCGTATGTTTCCAAAAGAGAAGGCATCCATGGTAGAATCATACTCACAGTTACGACGTCGAGGAAGAGGAAAACAAAAATAACGAGCATGTTTTTCGAAATAGTCATCTTCAAAATAGTTGGAAACGCCAACTTACATGTACCTAATATTATTTAAAAATTAATTAAGAATATTTCATAATGTTGAGTTTGGGAAAATTAGGTCAGTTTTGTACCAACAAAAACACCATGTAGCAGAACACAGAGCACGAAAGATAAGAAGCAATTTATTGTATCACAAGAAAATGAAATTGATCTAAAAAAGCCATTGTAGCATGCAATGTAATACAGAAACTAATTCCAAGCGATTAAGAATTTATCATTACTGTTAAACTTGGCAGCACATATGTCGAAGAAAAATAAGAAGCTACATAAGTGATAATGGCGTTAATCACTTAAGCATGTGTTTTCATCTATCTGTAGCCCAGGGTATATCATCAAAGGACCGGAATAACACCATAATAAGTCCTGTCTTTAAAAAACACCTGAGAACAATCAGCCCGTAAGCCTAACCAGCGTGGGTGTTAAGGTTCATGAAAAGGCCATTCGGAAAAACTTAAACAAGTATCCAGACGAAAACTGATCATTTCTGAAAGCAGTGTGGTTTTAAAACAAGTTATTTATGCTTCATGAAATTATTAGTAGCTCGAGAAAGCTGATGTTCTCTTACAGATAAAAAGTTAATTATGCATGTGGCTTTCATCGACTTCAGTGAGGCCCTTGACAAAGTTCCAGATAACATGCTGTTGTCTAAGTCGTGATATCGAGACTGATGGTAAACCGCTTATGTGGGTAAACGATTTTCAGGTGAGGCGTCAACTAAAGTGTATAGGTTGACTCTAAGCTGTCTAGCTGCAAAATTGTGTTTAGTGGAGTGCCCCAAAGTACAGCTTTGGGGCCAGTGTTATTCCTCTTATATGCAAACAAACTACTTTATCGCCTATCATCGTCGGTTTCCTTATATGCCGACGATATCAAGGTATGGAGAAAGATGGAAAGTATAGGTGGTACTTCGGAGCTTCAAAATGACCTGCAGAAAGTATCTGAATGGTCTAGAATTTGACCGCTACCAATAAGTGCTTCAAAATGTACTACGTTGTATATTGGTCACCAAGGTAAGGACACATAAACGGTGAATGATATCTACCTGTTGTTCAAACACACACTGATTTAAGAGTCATTATCAGTCAAGTCGCGAAAACTGCCAAAAATTTCAGAATCCTCTAGTCGATAAGTAGAGCCTTTGGCCACGTATATGATAGAACCTTCGACTTCACACATAGTATTCGTTCGTCCTAAATTCAACTATTGCATGCGAGCAGTCAGCTCAAGTCTGAAAAAGACAATAGGTAGTTGAAAAACACTCAAAGAACCACAAACAATTTGATTCTCGGAATCGCAGAGCTACCTTATGGCGAGAAAGTAGCTAAACTAAACCTATTCCGCTTGTCATATAGGAAGGCTAGATGTGACTTGGCTACAATTCTCAAACTGTCTAATAATAATTTCGCATCTCATAGGGTCTCATTTTGATTGGCTCTCGAAACAGAAGATTTATGACGAGATCCCCACAAGTTCACAAGACCATAACAAACTACATATCTATGAACGGCTGAATTCCCCAACGAATCAATAAGACTGAAATTTCTTAACTCGACAGTCGACTTAAGCTCCATTTGTCGATGTTTTAATAGAACGTTGGTTGAGCCGAGGGACCCTATTTTTAGAAGTAACGGGTGTTCTGGCCTCCCGTCCTTCTCAAAATGAAGCTGAGCACAGATGAAATATTTAAATCCTTGAACTTGCATCATTTGAAGGCTTAAAAACACCATTCTGCGCGAATCTCAGGCATGTGTATGATTAATTAGTCCACACGAAAAATAACAGTACATGGTTGTATTGTGCCTCATTCTAGCGACTAAAAAAGATTCTCATATGAACATTTTCAAACTATCTGGAAATCTGAACGGTCCGAATCATATGTTTCTGACGCCATAAAAGCATCTTTCAAGAAGCCATATCCAGTTCATAAACCTATGAAGTCATGTATGCGATACATCAAGCCAGATAATACTTGAAGGTACAAATTCATCCACATTGCCAGCGTATGTGACTTGCAAGCTATCCAAAAACGACAGTTAGTTAGGTAATATTGTAGGCTTAAAATATTTCATTAATTCGGTCTTTATACGCCTAATCATATCTTATCCCATGATTAGAGTTTCTGCAGATACACCAACAGAAAACCGACCAATCTCACTATCTTTGGAAAATTTTGAAGAACTTTGAGTAAGTTTTGGGGTTTCTCTGTAGTCTTCAGAAGTGTGGTAGTTTCTCCGAAGTTTGGGGGAGTTTTAGGAAAAAACCCTGAAGTGTCATAAGATTCTGGGGAAATTTTGAGGTTTCGTGTTAGTCCCCCAAAGTTTTCTGTAGCGGTCTCCTCACAATTTACTCAAACAGGACATCTTCCCTAAAATAGGGAGATATCTCCCAATATTGAGTGAGAACGGTTGAAGACTGAACCGTGTAACCCATTATTGGGTACCATCTTCACTTGTGAAGGGTTATTCGCAGAAACAAGATCTCAACAAAAACACAAACTGAGAAGCCACTACAGACCAGCAGACACTTATGAACAAGATTTTAAATAACTTACAGCTACCCGGCCTTGAGACGTGCTGACCTTGATACCTTTATCTTTTAAAATTTGTTTGGTTGAATTATACAACTACTAGTTCCTGAAGTGAACTGACAGCCTCTTGTTGAACGATTGAATAAGATTTGCCGCTTTTCAATTCTTGTAAGAGGTTCTATCTGCACCGGCACCTAATTATCGTATTGTATCATTTGTGCCAATTAATAATTCCCTTGTAACTGTTTCCGTGTCTTGTTTAAAATTCTAAAATACAATAACTCAAAGTGTTGGCACTGATTTATCTCTAGCTTAAATATCGGTCCATTTGTGACTCTTGGAGTACGAAGTGAACGCTTCCAGGATTTCCCAGCTCGTATGCCAAATTCAAATATTTCCAATAATCATTCATGTCCTTTCAAATGCTTCTGTACTGTCTTTTTCAGAGATAAGAGCCTCTTAGTGAGGTGAGTAGGTTAGGAGCTGTATCTCTTATGTGGTTAGGTGTAATACTGTAGGAGGTCTTCATTAAACAATGAAAACAGTTTTTACTAATTCGAGTTGACTTATCTGATTGTAGCGGTAAATAAATCCCCAAAATAAATAGCTCTCTAAGTTTCCGACATTGGATGCTGACCATATGTTTTAGTGGGCTCATCTAGCTGAAGGCGCTCGGTCATGTATCCGCACCAGGTCACGTGTGGTAACGCCGTGCTCAACATCAACCGCAATCGCTAGCCAGATTAGATCAGAGAATTCCGATATATTAGTCATCGCCAAATATACTCTTCTGATCTCCTCGACTCTGTCTTTTGATTTCTCTGGGTGGGAACGAAATACATTAGAAGGTGTTACTGGTAGAAGCGTTGTCAAACACTGAATACCTGTCACATCATCATTGGTGAGACCGACGTGATCTGGTACACCTAATTGCAACTGTGAGTCTGTTCCTTTTTGGGATTTTTATATATCATTGCCTTATTTTTTATTTTTTTAAACATTGTGATTTTTTTCGTGTTTTTTTTCTTGGATATATATATATTTTTCCCCTCGTTCATTATCGTACTTAATATATCATCATGACTGAACAGACACCCAAAGTACTCAAGCTTAAGACTTTGTCCCCGCCTTCGTTTCAACTCATGCCTTTCTGGCCCGACAACATCGAAGCCTGGTTTTGCTACGCAGAAGCCGACTTCCACGAACACGGCGTGTTCGACACACGTGCACAATTCCTCGCAGTAGTCAAGGCACTACCGCGAGAATTCAACAGGTACGTAACACCCAGTATGTTTGCTAGTGATGTTTCCGATCCTTACGAAATCTTAAAACGCTCGATTCTTAAACGAGGAGACCTAACCGATCGACAAAGGTTAGATCAACTCTTCAATAACGTCAACCTGCAACACGGTTTTGCGACGGACATGTTGCAACGGATGAAAGAGGTAATAGGCCCAAGAACTTTCGACGAAGGTCTATTCAAACAACTCTTATTGTCAAAACTTCCTCAACGGGTGCAAGCAGTTCTGGTCTCGTTCCAGAACAACGCCTTAGACGAGCTAGCTGCATCTGCCGATCGCATTTTAGAAATTACGAAACCTCCTACTACCGAGGTATTTTCAGTCAAAGAAAAGCCTCAAACGACTCAGAATGACATAACCGAGTTATGTCACACACTCACGCGTTATCTTAGTCTTCGTACCGACCGTAAGAGATCGCGCACCCCACGTAGAGGAATTTCACGTAAGCGATCTGTCTCTAGACCACGAGAGACAGATAACCCTGACTGGTGCTGGTATCATAACCAGTATGGGAAGTTTTCCAGAAATTGCTGAAAACCCTGCAATTTTCCCAACACGAAACCGACTGACTCGAAAAACAACTCGGGAAACTTCCAAGCCGGCACGCGTTAACGGCAACCGTAGCCGGCGAACATAGCCGTCTGTTATGCGTCACAGATGTGACAACGAGAGTTCGCTACCTCGTCGACACTGGCGCAGAAGTTAGCGTTTTCCCAGCGAATTCTAACGACCGACTTCACGAATCGACCCTAAACTTACAGGCGGCAAACGGAAAACCGATCGCTACGTATGGCAAAAGGTACGTTTACCTTAACGTGGGTTTACGCAAACCCATTCACTGGATCTTCGTTGTTGCAGATGTTTCTATGCCAATCATTGGTACGGATATCCTGCAACACCACAATCTGTTCATCGATACGCGCGAACGGAGGCTAGTAGACGGAAACACTAATTTATCCGTTTGCGTAACTTCTTTTACTGGTTGAAAATTATCTCCAGTCACAATTAAACATATGATAGACCCACTCTATCAGCCACTTCTCGATAAGTATCCTGGGATCCAGCAAACGCAACCGAAACTACCGTCTGTAACCAGCAACATTACAAATCACATCACGACTACAGGACCACCTGTA